CCAGGGAAGTGGTGGAGTCCCCATCCCTGGAAGTATTTAAAAGACGTGTAGATGAGGCGCTTAGGGACATGGTTTAGTGGGTGGTGGTGTTGGGTTGACGGTTGGACTCGATGATCTTAGAGGTCTTTTCCAACCTTAATGATTCCATGATTCTATGATTTCTGTAAAGCACTGCTGATAATCCAGAACTGAAGTAAAATGTAATTACTCTAAAGATTTTTTGAAGGGTAAATAATACAGGTTTTGAGAAAACTTCCAGAGTGAGAGTATTTGCTTTTGTGTGACTTTCAAGCTGTTGCTCTTGTGACAGACGTTGCCATTACCCTCTTCCCTGTGTTTACAGGCAGCTACCACTTAGCAGTATCTAAAATAGTAAAGTAAATGTTTTTTAAACAACACAAACTAAAAGTGGCAAGTGGAAAAAACAGGTTTTAATATTTAAAAGTTAACAGTGACTGTTAATGGCAGGTGGAGGAAGTAAAAAAAGGAATATAGCAGCTAAGTGTTGCCTCAGCAAATTTACTGGGGTTGTACGTTACTGGATTTAAACACAGAGGCGTCAGTTCAGTGCTGTTTGAAATTACAGGACACGCGCTTGGGATGCTCTAAGGCATCTCGAATGGCAGGAGGCACAAGGTTTAGGCAACAGAATGGAGCCCAGAATGTCCATTTTGATCCTGCTCTGGAAATGTCTTTTCCTCTGTGCTTTGGTTGCTCATTTTTCCCTTAAATTGCCAAATCCTCAGAATAGGGATAATCTCATATGCTATACAGACTGTGTTTAGCCCCATGATGTTAAATGCTAAATGAATACATGCAGCTGAGGCCAAAAAAAAATATTATGATGTTATCTGGACACTTCCCTGTAGCACAGGTCTAAGACTTCCTGATACGGAATTCTGCTAATCCAGACCAGTGGCCAGGCACTCACGCACCGATTTCTGCTTCCAACTGATGTAGCATTAACATCTAATTTTGTGCTTGGACCCTAATGAATCTTACCACATTGAATTAATCCACTAGCAGCTGATATTTTTTACATGTGAAAGTGCTTAAAAATTGGCAGTTGGTTTATTATTGTTTTGATAAGATAAATGGAATTCATACTTGTTACTAAAAATAATTTTCTAGATTTCAGCCTTTTCATAGCTCTTTTCTGACCACACTCTATATTTGATGCACTTGAATGGGACACCAGATCTGCATGGAATTTCTCAGAAAGCTCACACCAAGCAGTGTGTTTTGCTACCCCTTCTCAGACACTGTTTGCCAGTACTCAGTCTCCCATTCTGCTTTCCTGGCCTAGCATTTAAACATACTAAAATCCATTTTATTCTAACAGGATCACTTAAGCCAGTGATGCAGATCAGTCTTACTATCTAATGCTCTGTCGCTCCTTCTGTCTTAGCAGCAGCGATGTTGTAGCCTTTTCAGGTGCTCTTGGAACAGAGTCATAATAATAAGGGGGTTACTGTTCAGACAGCAAAACTGCAAAGACTCATTCTTTTGAAAGACTCCAGTGTAGATGGGATTTCAACACGTGAAATCACAATCCTCATCCTGTCTTTTTGCAGAGAAATGGCTCAGAAACAATCCACTGCAGAGTATGTTCAGGTACCTAATGAAGAAAACATTCGTGCGACCACAGTTCCATCAAGCAATGCGACAAATGAATACCCTAGTGTTGATGAAACAGCAGCCTCTGGAACACCTGAAAATTATGAGAAGCAAGAAGCAGAAAAAGAAGAAATAGCCTAGAGTTTTAGTACAGTTTTCCTTGTCAGCTTTGAACCCCTTTATACAAAAATTGTTGTCGTTGAATTAACATAGAAGCATGACTAAAACTTAGATGGGCATTTGTATTGTGAACCACTGGGCTGGAGATTGAAAAGGGTCTGTTACACATGCACTTTGTGAACAGCAGAAGATTTGGCCTTTAAAGATAACCCAATTTCATTTATTATCTAGTATAATTATACATAAATATAAGTATAAAAAGACTATCATTCACATTTATCCAACCTATTATGCAAAATTAATTAGGAAATGGGCTGAAGCATTTGACAAAGTAAGAGCTTTCCAGTCAACTCTCAGTAATGCTGTATGTATCCATACAGTTCTGAACCACAGCAGTCTTCTCCAGAAACAGTGTCGGCCAACCTCGTGTCTCCGGTGCACCGAGAACAACCATCACGGCCAACACACTGCAGTGTTTAAAGGATCTGATTTTGCACATCAGAAGTAAAAAGAAGTTTCATCAGTGTCATCAGAGTGCAGAAACAGATGTTAAGACCTGGACCAATGAAATCTCGTGTGTCTGAATTCCTCTTAAAGCTAAAAAAAAGATCTCGGAAACTTTTACCCTGTTGCTGCCTGATGTGGAATACATTCTGTTAACAGTGACCTTCTTGGCTTTAAAGTTCCCAAGGCACCAGCGTTCCAGAGTTGTGTGTTTCAGCGGTTCTGGTTTTCAGTTTAATGGAACTAGCATTCAGGTACCCAGTTCAGACATCGATTGACTGGTTTCCAGACAACAGGAGCTGGAAATCTAAATCCCTTGCAAGGCTTGTTATAACAGGCACACAGAGTATCAGATTCCTCGTGACATGCAGATACAGCTGCTTTCAAAACTGAGAAGTGAATACTGCCTACTATACAACACACGAGTTTCGATTGCTTCCTCTGCCTGAGATGATGTAAATCTATTTCCAGGCAACTGCCCTGCCCGCTAAGCAATGAAGTCATGCTCCTTTTCTTCTGGTCTCTTTAGCCCATACAATTTTCTATAGGTGAAAGCATCAAGAGGAAAGCTAAGTAGTGCATCCACACCAATAGCCAACAGCTGAGTAACGAGCACTCTCTTGGAAGGAGAAAGGGGAATGGAACCATATACTCTCTGATCACTAGACACCTCTTCTCTCTGGGCCTCATTTCTAAGGTTGCGCAAACTCCGTTCTTCAAAAGGGAAAAGATACCTACTTTCAGAATAGCTCAAGGACCATGGGGCTCAGGTGAATACAGACACACAGCCTCAGCAGCTCCCTTCTGAACTACGTGAGGCAGATATTCACTGACACAAGGAGACACTGGTTTCAGTCTTGTGCACTGCAGAAAAACGTATCTGGAACTTTTTGGCACTTAAGCCTTTTATAGGATCTCATGTTCATAAATCCTTTGGTGACTGTTCCTAGCCTGTAAACATTAGTTATATGCAACAGTCGTCTTTAAAATAGATAAAAGGATACATCTGTGCTAAAATTTTCAGGTTCAGTTCCTACAGCTATGTTTATCAAGAAAGTGACCACAAAACAAAAAAAAAAAGAAAAAAAGATGGCAACATTTGAAGAAGATGCAAGGCATGAGGTCCTAACTAAGATTCAACTGTATTCATTGCCGTTTCTATGCAGTTTTCTGGCTTTCAAATATGTCTTTGATACGTGTGTCCTAGTGTTTAGCCTCATTCCAGCGTAAAAGAGCATTCACAGTGTTCTTATAATATTGTTTTAGCTAAAAACTGCTTGTGCCAGACTGCGAGGGTCAAACCCTTACTAATAGCAACACTGCCATATTCTACCAGTGGATCCTCACATTCCTCTCCCCCCAAAATAGCCCGGGTAAACCTTAAGTCATGACCTGTATGTATGGAAGTCTCTTCTTAATCAGGCCTCTCTCTTATCGACTCTTGTGGTAATTGTGCTAAGCAAAATCTGCAAACTCACATCCTTCAATCTAGGTTTAGAAGCTTACTGAGAATTTTTGGTATTCACACCCAAAGTTTTGTAAGCATGCAGAACGATGACATTAAGCGTGCTCAGTAACAGCAAGAGAAGAGAAGTACTACCTACTCCTGTTTGGGTGCCATTTCTTACCAAAGGTGTTTCCTAATGAGGTAATTCAAATCAATTACTGGTCCAAGGGAGACCACGACTTGGCTGACAGTGGCATTAATTTTAAGTAATTTCTTCTCTGACATTCCCAAGCATTCTTTTACTCTTGCCCTTCATGGGAAAATATAAACAATTCTCTTCACAACACTGCTCTAGTTGTACTAGTTCTTCTAAAGTCATCTCCTGTATATATGTCTTAGTTACATTTTTCTTACTGCAACAGCTTTCCAACTTTCACATCTCTGCAACAGCACTATCATGATTGAAGGGGGGAATATATTACGTGGTCATTATCATAATTTTATAATCTTTCCTTAATCTCACCTGCACAAATTTCTCTGCATGTATTCCTCATATAACTTGCTACAGTAAGATAGGAGCTTACTCTAGTGAAGTTGCAAGTACCTTCCATAGCTAATACAATCTTCCCAGAACACCACAGGTCTTAACATTTGCTAAAAAAGTAGAAATTGCTCAAGTTATGTTAAGGTTTTTATACAAAAAGAAAGAACAATTGAACACAAGGTCTAGCCTAACAATTCCTATCATACTTCTAACCACCAATGTGTAATAGATTAGATAGTATTAAAAAAACAAAAACAAAAAGCAAAAATAAGAAGCAAAAGAGATTGCTGTGGGTGAGGAGGAAGGTAATGAAAGTAACGTTTATTTGGAGTTCCTTAACATATTGCGATATTTTTGTAAGCCTTCTGGCAGATGTTTGTTCTCATTATGAAGTTTCTCTCATGTAAAATAGTTTATTAAAAAGGATGGGGCACTGGTCCTAGCTTTCCACTGATGCTCTTGGCAAAGCACAAGCCAAATTAGGTATTGATCCACGGTGCGTAGCTCAAAAACCCTGCAGAGCCATGCAGGATGCAGAAACATTTTTCAGAATTTGCCTCAGATGTTCCGACAGCCTTTGCTGCGTGGCCCATTTATCTTCTCCTGAGGGAGCAGGGATCAGTAATATGGAAACCAGATATTAAGCCAACATTCAAGCCACCATCTCCAAGGGAACTGGATTTACAAAGCTACAGAGCTGTGGCAGGGTTTTTTTGCTATACAAAGATCAAGGATCAACACAGAATTCTAACTTCAGCTTTTCTCAAGTCAAGTTTTCAGCAGTGTCTGCACAACATGCAAGAAACATTTACTCAGTCAGGTTCCTCCTTCAAGCAAGGGCTGCATGGCCAGAGTTTACTGTACAGGCAAGTTACCCCTCCTGCTCTCAATAGGTATCCTCAGTGAAATTTAACCTGCATTTTGCTTTCTAGGATAGACTTAAAGTACTTGGTGAAGATATTTGTTTGGTTTTAAGTTTCTGTCTTGCTTATCAAAATAAATTGCATTACCCTAATCCCTACAAGTCAAACTGTAGAAACCGTCATCTTCCATTTCAACCTTTCCCTGCAGCTGAAGAATAAACATGTTCTATTTCCACACTGTGTAATGGATGGCAGGGTTTCATCTGACTTGTTCACATCCCAAGCATACAAGCTATTTAGAAAATATTGTTTTTGTTACATGTAAGTTTAATAAAGTTTTATAACACCAAAGACTGCTGTTTAGGAAAGTTCTTTATTTCACAGAATTTCATCAGCATCGTTTGTTCAGAAAGGGGAAATCTATGCCACTAGTGTCAAAAGTGATCTTACAAACATCAGAACAGAAGGTCACTTTTCAGACTCCGTCTCATTAGCTCTGCCTTCTAATAACTTAATATCAGGATTTGCTATGAGTAAATAAAGATTAAACCAGGCTTCTGTTATAAAATAAGATGGTAAACTGCAAGCGTCAGTGCTACATAATGGGAGTCAAACAGAACACAAAAAGAAATCTATAGAAGGAGCAAGAGGAAATAAAAGTAGATTCGAAGTATATCCCAGAGAAGTATCCAGAGCCATCCATTATATAATAGTACATTTGCAGAGGTAGCCCTGAAACTGCGCCTGCATTCTGCAGGCAGTCCAGTGCACTTCATCAAATACATATATTTAAAGATTCAAAGAAACACGATAACAACAGAAAAGCTTTAAACACTCAGAGCTCACTTGAATAGACTAAGAAGAGTAAAAATGGATAAAATTATCTAAGTAACTGAGCAAACTGCATTCTACAAAGGGAGAGGTGTAGTTTAGAATCATCTGAAGGAAGAGAATCAGTACCCACAAAAACCAAACAGAAAACCACACACAAATCGCAAAGGCTAAGGGAAAAAACAGAGACTCTAGAATAAGCTTCCAAAATAAAATTGGCTTTAAATGATTAAAGCATTTTTGGTCCTGTTGCTTGAAAGAAATAATCCTAAACTAGGTTCTGAAATAGAAGGACTGACCGCATTTATACAGACCATACTGTAAACTGAAAGAAAACGGCAAGATATTGAAAAATACTTTAAAAATCAGTGAACTGTTTAATTAACGGGAAGTACAAACAGTTGTTTTGGCACTGTACTTGAAGGAAAGCTAGAGATACACATTTTATTACCATGCTGATGCCCGTACGCGACATCCCAGTTGAACTACCAAAATATGAAGTTTGCAGTCTTAAATACAAGTGCAACAGGAAGGAGACTCAAGTCAGAAGTGCCCACTAGCCTTCCACCATTCTTTTAAGTATGGCTCCCAGGCCACCTTTTGCCACCTTTAGTGGGGTCAGTTCTTCTTTATTCTCAATGTGAATACTTGCACCGTGAGACACCAGCAGCTTTGCCTCCTCCACTCTCTCTTCATCGCAGGCTAAATGACTGTAATAAGGACAAGAAACCCACAGCCACTATTAAACAGTCCAAGCTTACAGAGAGCAATAATTATGCCTTGTCAAAATGACAGCGTGAATGTTGGGGGGGAGGTACATCCTAGAACAACA